AGTAGGAGATTGGCTATACGAGAGTTAGCCAGTTGACTGCTTTGTACTGGTGTTCTTGGCGCCAGTAGTGGAGTTCTGTGTTCATAGCCTCGGCTTTCTATCCCGGTGAAGACTAGTCGTCTGCCGGGTAGTTAGACTGAGAGGGCTTGGTCAGCTTAAGAGATTCCAAGCTACTGTCGGATCTTCCGCCGTCTAATCAACAGTAAATCAACCCAGGGAATTGCAATTGAACCTAACTAAGGGGCTAGGGGGACTCAATCCCGAGTGACTCTTAACTGCTTTTGAAAATCGAACCATTTCCTGCTTACTGCTTTTGCTTTAAACAACAATCACTCGAACTAGTTTGCTAGATAATAGAGAATCACGGAGTAAGCAGTAGATCTAGACCCCGGGTTGATAATATAACTTGCCTGTTACTGCATTCCCGGACTGCGATTACACTTGGTCGCAGTTTGGTGTTGTGTTTTGGCGTGTCAGTAGTCTTATCTTGTGAGACTCTGTCTAAGAAGTCTCGTGTCTTTTCAATTTGTAGTTTTGTGTCACCAGCGTGTACCTGTTTGCTATTTGGAATAAAGCTACTCTCCTTAGTGTCTTCAGTAATCTTCAGATTGGTTTACTTCTTCTATGTTTGGAGCAGACTGCACGTAATGTGTGTGCTAGTGTGTGCAGGAACGACTAGAGCAACAGGATTGGAATCATTGACAAGCTGAGGGGGAGAATGTTGAGGGCAGCTTGTCAAAAGAATAGGAGCTGATTATGCGAGATAAAAGTGGAGATGATATTCGGCAAGCAAAACTAGGAAGCTTTTCAAAAGGAATACCATATCAAGATCAACAAGAAATGGAAACTCTGGTGCAACGGCTACTGGCGGATTGAGTATAAGAGAGAAGGGAATTGCAAGGATCGAGCACTTTTCCGAAGATCAATTTCACGAAAGAACAAAGGAGTTTGTTAAGGTGTGATTGATAAGAAAAGAGCTCGAGTGCAGTACTGGAGAGTGGGTGTACTTGAGGGAAGCTGGATAGCTTGAGAGTGTGTGAATTAGAATACGATCAGTCTACCTGGATAGGAAGAGTGATCTCGACTTCTCTGTTTCGGAGCTAAAAACAAAATCCTAGTGAATTGTCGGAAATCACAAAACGTGATTATCCGTCCGTGGAGTAGTCAGTATTGGGAACTTCTTTAACCCAATACTGGAAACCACGTAAAAGGTTCTGTGTTCTTCGATTCTGCAATTTTCTGTTTGAGGCTTTACAGTTCTTGTGTTCTGCAGAATTGAGAAGAGTTCCAGGTACAGGGGAACGATTTACACGGCCGAGTCAACCACGGTTCAACCCTTAAATAAAACGCATCACTTTGTCAATCAAGGATCAATAGAGTAAGAAACTGAGTGGGCTTGAGGGTCAGGCCCATCGTAGTTTATTGTTTTATTAACTGACGAAAGATTGAGTTTGTCCAATTTGGTTTCTGGTTTCTATTATCTTCCTTTCGTTCTTCACTTGTTCTACCAAAAAGATCGAGTTAGGGTTTCAGGTCAAGAAAGAACGAAGACCATCTGCCGCGTAGGCATCTCGCGCTCGACGCCAACACCCGGGTCCTAGATGTGATGACTACTCAGTGAATTCTTATTATCTAGCAATGAAACTTTAGTGCAGGTTTAAACTAACAAACAAACAAAGCAAGTTTAACGGTTGTTTTCAAGTCGAGAGAGGTCACCCGGATATGGTTCCCCCTAGACTGCAGTTAAACCGGATTGCAATTTACCAAGTTCAGTTTTCATGATAGTTATACTGCGGAAGGTTCTTAAACAGTCTGAAGTCTCGACTAAAGTTCTCCAGACCCTCTCAATCTGAGTCCCCAGCGGGCGACTAACCTCCACCGGAGTAAACAGATTGAGACCCTAACGAACCAAACCTCCACTACCGAAGTAAATTCGGTACAGAATAGTGAATTGCCTCCTCGACTAAAGTCGCCAATTCACTACCTTCAATTAAGGGTGCTCTATCAACCTAGGCAGATATTCTCTTTCTAGGTTAAAGCAGAAACAACAGGAATTTGATCAGGATTCAAGTCATTCAATCATTCAAGCCTCAATCGAATATAATCAAATCATAAAATCTGTACTTGGGTTCATACAATCGGACCTAACATACAAATCTAGGGTTCTCCATACCCAGATGAATGGGAAAACTACTCCATGGAGAGAGAAGCAAAAGCAGATTCAGATGCGGAAATCATACTATGAAGGATGAGTTTCTGCTCCTGTTCGTCAATCGGCACTTCTCCAAGCTCAAGCCGGGCTCCAATGGTGATGAAGATCAAGCTAGGGCACTTGGGAACTCTGGTTCGTCGCTTTCTCTCTCTAGGAATCGCTCTGTCTCTCTAAAACTCGGAACCCCTTCTCCTTTGGCTCAAATCTGCCTAAAAAGCCAACCCTGGGCAAAACACGGTCGAGGGCACGGCCGTGCTTTGGTTTTGCCCGCCCGTGTTTTGCCCTGTGTTAAAAACACGGCCACACCTTGGGGGAAAACACTGGCGTGCCTAAAGTTGGACACTACCGTGTTTTGAGTCAGTCCCGCCCGTGTTTTGGGCCAGCGCAGGACAATCTTGGATCAAGCCTCGGCAGTAAAAACACGGTCCATGAACACGGTCGTGCTTTGATTTAGGCGCGCCCGTACTTTGCTTTTCCATCAGTTCAGCTCTCGGCAATAAAAACATTGGCATGCCTGTTTGTGTACACGGCTGTGTTTTGGTTTAGGCCAGCCCGTGCTTTGGCCCCAGCTCGACCGAATGACTTCCAAATGCCCCGAAACTCGTGCTTAGCCTTTCCTTTGACGTCTGGGACCTGAAATATGACAAAGTAGCACAACCCGGCGTAAAATAGGCCAAAACACACGACTATGCCCCGCAAATGGATAAGAACTAGGGGTACAAAAATGTGCAATTACATCGTTATCAGCTAGATTATTGGGGGCGTCGCCGGTAGGGTGGCGCGGTTCAATAGGAATGGGCTTGGGTGGTGGGTCGGGCCCAACTGCCTGCTCAGTGGGAGGCAGATCCATGCGGGGCGGGCTTAGCTATTTCAACCAATATGGGCCAGGAGAGAAAGGGAGGAGGCCAGCTAGTTTCTCCTATGATTGGGACGAGCATAGGGAATGATCCAGACAATGATTGGGCTCCAGGGAAATTGAATGCAGCTGGGCCAAGCCAGGTGTGGCCAACTGTGCCAGAAATTAATGGGTGAGAAGAAAAGAGTTGGTTCTTCAAGCCCAAGATTAGGGATGGCAATGGGTCGGGTTGGGGCGGGTTTTGTCAAACCCAAACTCATGGGTTTATCCGCCAAAAAAACCCGGGGTAAACCCGTTGGGTTTCAAAAACTCAAACCCAACCCAACCCGCTGGGTATCCACGGGTTCATGGGTACCCGTGGGTTTTTGTGGTAAAAATTTTACAATAACAAGTTTCTTTCAAAATAAAAGTTTAACATCAATTTTCTTATACAAATTAATCATACAAAAAACACCAATTTAGAGCATACAAGCAAACCGCAAATGTTAAATACAAATTGTTCAAAATTAAAGATAAACATCTATAAACAAAAGATTAATTGAAAGCTTCTTCCTCGTTAACTAAGTTTCTTCACTCTCCACTTCATAATATCAACTTCATTCTAAACAATTAGAAAGAACAAATTATACATGTCTCCACAAACATAAAGAATATTAATTGTTTAAGGAAGATATATTATTTAGAATATTAAATATACCGGGAAAGTAATTATGTGTGTGGGCGGGTACCCATGGGTCGGGTTTACCTAAACCCAAACCCAACCCGACCCGGTAAATAGTGTAGCGGGTTTAAACCCGAACCCGGCCCAAAACCCGTCAACACGGGTTTTACCCGCGTTGACCGGGTTGGGTCGGGTGGGTACCCGTGGGTTCGGGTTTTGTTGCCATCCCTACCCAAGATAGCCCACTTGATTTTCCTAAATACAATGGGCAGGAGGAACCATTTGGACGGTTTGCTTGGGTCGAGCAGTTCTTCAAATTCTAAGCGATTCCAGAGGAGCAAAAGGTATTTTTGGCATCTTATCATTTGGAAGGGGATGCTAATCAATGGTGGCAATGGGTGGATCGCACTACTACAACGACCGGGAAATCAATCACAAGAGCTCGGTTTAGAGAAGAGTTGTGGATTTGATTCGGGCACTCGGAAAGCACTTCTAGCAACGAAGCTCTCGCAAAGATTAAACAAACTGGATCGTTGAACGATTATCTTATAAATTTTGAGAATTTGGGTAATCGATGCTATGGTTGGACTAAAGAGGCATTGGTTGGCTCCTTCATTGGTGGGCTTAAACCGGAGGTTTCAGATGTAATAAGTATGTTTAGGCCAGGATCAGTGCGAGAGACAATTCTACTTGCCAAAGTGAAAAATGATGAGTTGGCCAAACATCGAGGAGCACCAAGAAATACACCAAAAGGCCAAATGGAGGTGGTGGTCGAACCTATACCTACACCACCTCAACCCACGCCACCACGAGTTCCTAATGCAAGAAGAATGTCACCAGAGGAGGTAGCGAGGAGAAGGGCACAAGGCTTATGTTTCCATTGAGACGAGCGCTTCACTATTATTGTCTTTATCAGTAGTTTCCTTGTTCAATTAGGATTTGTCTTATTGTTATAGTAGCTTCCTTACGGGAGTATGAGTCATGCTCTAGATAGGAAAATGTAGAGGCTTCTATGCCTATAATTATGTACTAGTTCACTCGTGTAATGTCATGAGAAGATTGGAACCCAACTCTTGAGTCTTGCTTCGTTCTTCGTCTAAATTTATTTTCGCCCTAAAGTCTATTTATGATCGTTGTAGCCCGAATTCTCTTCGGCCTAAGTTTATTTCTCTAGTTATCGTTCGGTTCTTGCGAGACACGCGTTGCGTGGGATCGAGGTATAGAATCCACGTAACGACTTATGCATTGGCGTTTTCTCGATCGAGATCGATGGACAAGCTCTCAACAAATGTGCCAACAACAAAGACAATTGATCTAAAGAATTAGTGTCATTAACAAACAATTTGGTCAATCGAATATCATTCTTCTACCAAGATCTCAACAATCATTATTTTTTATTTCTACAAGAATCCAAAGCTAGTCGATCGTGTGTGTATTCCAAAGGGCGGTATGCAGTAGTGCAGGGAGCTCCATTAATAGATCAAAATGGTGCAGTAAGTGGCTCCTTGAGCTTGAGTTCGTCAAGGGACAATCCTCCCCCAAAACTGTTGGTGGGATCAATGCAACAACATTGACAGGCGGCTACTGCACCATCATCAGCAGCAGCAACTGCTTCATCCTTCTTCCTCATCTGACCATCAACTGTGCCGCCGGCAGCAGCAATATTTGGCGAGACAAGTGTAGTAGCCTTCTGAAGTACAAAGAAGAAGATCGATTGGATTATTGTCCATTATGAGTAAGTAAATGAACATGCACCCGGCCAATCGATCATATAATATGATATGATATGTTTCAGTATCGGAATGGTAGCTACCTTGGTGAATATTGTGGATACTTCCTCTGGTTCCAAGTTCAGTACAACATCTGCAGCCAACTCCTGCAGAAAGATATATACATGTCGGGTGTAAGTTTGACCCTAAAAATTCATTGACCCGTCCCGTCCTTGAGGGCCGGGACGGGTCAGTTTGTCTGTAGGGACAATTTAGGGACAGGTCAGCTTTGACCCTATAAGGGATGGGACTGGTTGGGACAATACTTTTGACCCTGTGACCTTTAACAACAACAAATATCTCATACCACATTGGACCTCTTTGTAAAAGTTTTAAAAGTTCAGGTACTGATAAATTGCCAAAATAAAAAAAAATGGGTACCAAAATGTAATTTTACCATCAAAATTTAAGGACTTAATTGTAAAAAAAATAAATTTTAGGTACTAAATAATTGTAAGAAAAAATAATTTTGGGTACAAAAACGTAATTTGTAAAAAAAGTTGTGTAAATTAGGGTCGACCCACTGACCTGACCCGTCCCATCCCTTGAGGGTCAGACAAGGTCAAGAAGGGGACAGGGACGGGTAGGGCTGGTATTCGGTAAACCGTTATTCGGTATACCGGGTATCGAACCAATTATAATCGGTATTCGGTATACCGAATACCGGCGGTATCGGTATTCAGCTGCATTTCTTGGCCAAACGGTATACCGAATACCGACAGTCATATACCGACGGTAAATCGGTATACCGAATACCGAATAAAAAGAAAAAAAAAAAGAAAACGACAGCGTTTGAAATTGGGGGTGGGGGCGTGTAAACCCTAAAATTAAATCAAACTCTGCCTGCCCACTCCAGCACCTCGTCTCGGCCCCTCCACCTTTCCTATGTTCGACTTCGACTCTTCCTCTCCAACCCGCCGAGGCGAATTCCACCGCCACCACAGCACGCCCCGGCGGTCTTCCCCGGCGGTCTTCCTCTTCGCCAGCAACATCCCTGCGCCGCTGGCCGGAAGGCGCGCTCAGCACTCGCCAACAGCAGTCCCCCGCGCTCCACCACCGCGTCGTGAAGCCGCTCTCCACCACCGCGCCCTGTCTTCTTTCACTTCACTTCGCCATCCCCTGCAGGCAGCAGCTGTCTTCTCGAGGGCAGAGATGAATGGACGAAGGTAATAGCCAATAGGCCCATTTCCCAGCCACCCTTGATGATGATTCCCTCCCCTACTGATTTGCTAACTTTCTTTTGTTGATTTTGGTGAATGGACGAAGGTAATAGGCTCTTTCTCGAGGTTATAACAGCAGCCAACTCTCAAGTCTCAAAAATCAACACGAAGAACTAGAAGAAGCAGCATCAGCCATCAAGTAGCATGTGAGAAGTAGCATGTGTGAATTAGATGATTTAGATGATATTGTGAATTTTGATTGTTATTTTGAATTTAGGGTGGAGAGTGGAGGAGTGCGAGAAGGGGGAAGTTGGGGTTGGAACAAAGTAGGGGTTGGGGGAAGAAGTAAAGAATTGAGGGGGAAGTTGGGGTTGGAACAGAGTAGGGGATGGGGGAAGAAGTAAAGAATTGAGTTTGATTGTGTGTGTTTATGCTTGAGTTTGTGTTTGTTTATTCAACGGTTTACTGCTTTTTGTTTGTGTTTGTTTATGCTTGAGTTTGATCATATATTCATATGTTTTTTTGTTAGATTGGAGCATTTGGTTTTTAATTTTTATTAACATATCAAAGTCAAATTGTTATACTTTTTTAGGACAAAACCTTCTCGTGGTCGTTCTCGTGGAGGAGGTAATTCGAAGGGTGGATCCCTTCCTCCTCGTTCCACTTCTAAAAAAGCGGCACTTCCAAAAAAACACCTTCTACTGGTGTTACTAGGACTAATGTGGATCCTTCTCCATCCCCAACTGAAGCAAGTGCTGCAAATCCAGCACCTACCACAAGTGTGGCAAATCCAACCCCTACGGCTACCACAAATCCAACACCTACTGCAGGTGGTGAGCCAAAGGAAAATGTGAAGAAGAGAGGAGGAAGGAAGAAGACATCGAAGTGGTGGGCTTATTATGATCATGTGTTGGTGGACGGCTACCCAAATGGCAAATGCTAGTGTTGGTGCTACTGGTACTAGTGTTTTGGGAGGGAAATATGATGCTGAGTTCAGGAAGAGGAGAAAGGAGCAACTTCAAAAGGGGGTTCGTGGTTGTTCTGAATTGGACATCTATTTAAGAGATGTTGATGATGCTATTAATGAGGATGATGATGATAAGAAGTTCAACATTTTGAAGTGGTGGTCTCGGAACAGTGTTAGATATCTCGTCCTTTCAGAGATGGTTAGGGATATCCTGGCAGTTCCAATCTCCTCAGTTGCCTCAGAGTCTGCTTTCAGTTGTGGAGGTAGAGTGCTTAGTCCGTTTAGGTCTTCTTTGAACTCTAACATTGTAGAGGCCTTGATTTGTGCCGAAGATTGGATACGATATGAATGTGGTAAGAATTCAGGCCAAGGTCATGATAAAGAAGAAGATCAAGAACAGATTGATTTTGAAAGAGGTAATAGATCTTATTTGTTTTTAGTTATTCACTCACTTGATTTCCAAGATAATTGATGAATTCTAACAATTTGTTTTTTCCCCTTAAATTTAGTCACTAGTACCTTTGAAGCTCGAATGGAAAGTGTAGGTGATATGTCAAGTGAAGGCAGAGAACATAATATACCCATTGTGGTTGAGGAGGAGGATGGTGAAGAAGAAGAAGAAGAAGAAGAAGAAGAAGAAGAAGAAGAAGAAGAAGAAGAAGAAGAAGAAGAAGAAGAAGAAGAAAAGGAGGATGAAGCGGAGGATGAAGAGGAGGATGATAATGATGTTCTTCTCAACACTTTGAAGAAGCAAGGTTGTGCCGATGTTGGCGGTTCTCGCCATATTAGCGATGGAGGAGCTAGTGGTCAATGTTAACGGTGTAGTTATGCTATCTTTATGTTGGAGAATTTTATGTTAAGTTGGAACTTGTAAGTGTAACTTATGTTGTGAGAGTGAGACTATGTTGAATTGTTGATTGTTGGATGATGGAATTTGTGAAATATTTCATGTTTGAGACTATGTACTTATGTAGTAGTAATGCTATATTTATCTACTAACTACTTGTGTAGAATGTAGTTGACATAAACAATGTCATTGCCTAATGGAGTATTGGACTATTAGTAAATCGTTCATTATAAGTGAGATGTACTTGTAAGCTGTAAGGGTCTATTAGATAAACAACTAATTAACTAATTACTATTAACTAATAGTGAATTGTTGATTAATAAAACTTGCTAGACGATATCAATACAATATAGTAATAATTAATAAACAAACAAAATTATTTACATCATTTAATTAAACAACATTCAGAAAAATAAAAAGAACAAAAAGCCCAAATCAGCCCACTCGGTATGGTATTCAGTCGGTATACCGGCTCGAAAAATAATCTCAATACATTAACCGGTATTCGGTATACCGGTATTAATACCGGATAATATTCGGTATCGGTATTCGGTGGGTACACTGTCTGGTTCCGGTATACCGGATACGACCGATTACCAGCCCTAGGGACGGGACGGATCAGACAGGGTCAGGGACGAGTCAGGACAATTTTCAGCCCTATATACATGTGCATAAACCTATCATTATTGAGAACCAGTTCAAACCAATAATTTGGAGTTATTGAGGTAGAAGGGTTAACCATACGGCTTGTAATTGTTCCCTTCTACGCTCACTCGTACAACGAAAGTTCCCTTCTACGGCTTGTAATTGTTCCCTTGGCACCATACTCAATTTGTGTTTGAATCACGCATTATAGTACTAAAGGTTAATCAGAGGGTTCGGATATGAAACAATATATCTAGCTCTCTAAAGCTCTAATATCATATGAAGAGAGATTAATGCACGCACGATGCTTAATTAGCTTACCCTAGCATGATTGAGTTGGCCTTCACTCAAGGTCTTGGGCTCCATCTCAATAGGGCAGCAAATCTTGGCCGCCATGGCAGAACGATCGGAAGGCAGGCAAGGCAAACACACCGCCGGCCAATATCTATCTCTCGATCTCTATCTTCTCCAAAAAGACGACGAGCTGAGTACAGAAATTTCTTTCTTTGCTCCAAATCAAATGAGGCTTTTCTTTCTTTGGGGAGCTCGTTAACTCCCAACCAACCAACCCGTAGATGCAGATTATTAAATGAATTCCCTTCATTTTCAGTGGTATCTCGTGCACACGTACAGTTCTGAAGCTCTCACTCACGGGTTTCAGGAGCTCGTAATATTTGACTTTAAGCTCACTTCGCAAATAATTCACCAATCAATTCAAGGATGTATGAACTGTGATTTTGGGCCATGCGATTCTTTTTTTTTTTTTTCGTACTGATCAATCCTCATTCATCCCGGCCCACTAGCAAGCCCACATGATTACTGTGGTCTGTGGCTGTGGCCCAACCTCCCAAGCCTCGCTATTTAAGAATTGTGTTTTACGCATGGTAAAGGAAACCGTACTGGGCATCATATCGGATTCCTTTCTGGGTATTTTGTGGTACGACCGTGGTTCAACCATTTTGTACCGGTAAATATCGTTTTTTAATAATAAAATATATTTTTTGTCAAAAAATCGTGCTGCCAAAATCAGGGTATTGTCTCGAAGTAATACCGGATGTATCAGAATATACCGAATCATAAATGAATAAATACAACTAATTAGCAAACTAATAGAAAAAAAAAGAAATTTTAGTATAAGGATAAGGATAATTTATTTTGACAAGTTGTTTCGTCCATGATTCTTGGTAGTTTCAGTGCCATTCTAGCTATTGTTTAGTCTGTAATTTTTGAGAATTGATGTGCGAGTAATGACTTTCACTTAGCTTCAACTATTATGTCTGTATTTATTGGCATGTGATAGACTTCTCTTTTCCTTTTCTTTGAATTCAGTTTCATACTCTAATTGTATCATTTGTACATAGGCAAATCATGCTCGAGATGACAACTCGCTGATATGGCTGGTGCAAGGAATGAAGCCATCATTAGAATTCAGACCGACAACGGGGAGGGATGCCCAGGACTAATTCAATGATGATTGATGATGGTATAATAAAAATTATAGTCTGCATCAGCACCAATTTCTAGGCCCTAAGTAAAGTTATTCAACCCAGAACTCTGCTTAGCGCTAAAAATTGCCCACACCCAACCTTGATCTTGTTTGACCCACTTCTGAAGAGTCAATATATATGACTAATCCTCTCCGTTCGTATTTTCTTATTGACTCTTTCTGGCCCTTTAGGTTGGGGCGGGTCGGGAAAAATCGGATTAGTGGGTCGGTCCTAATCAATGCAGTCAAAAGCGTGATTCTACCTAAAAGCGGAAAAGGGGTAAAATCGAAAAGCGGCGAATCAAAGCGTAAAAGCGTAAGTTTTTTATGCATCATGTATAATAGTTAAAAATCTGTTAAGTACCACATGTATTATACAAAATATGAGTGCATGGAGTTTAGACAAGTGAATAAATACATGCAATTCATGTCCAAATTAAAGCAAATTCATAACATCTTAACAATAAGTTCATAAACATAAACTGTAACCCACAAACGAGTTAATAACCAAATTCTCACAACATTAGCTTCACATTCTGCCCTTGGTTTCTCAAAGGTTCAATTAGAAACACCACATATACATAATTTAGCAGTAGCATACGTAGGTAAACCAGTAGGTTATACGCCTATTGGAAATTATAAGTAGTTTCCTTCATTTTGCTGGGTTGGTTTAAATTATTGAGAATGTGTGAGTTGTAATTTAGCTAGCAGGGTGGACTAAGAGTTGAGAAGGGGAAGCATTTACCCACCATTTAGGAGTCATAGGTGAAGTGGCGACGGGGTATGACAAGATAGAGACAGAAACTAACATGGTGTGGCACCAGCGAGTGGCGACAGGCGACGACGAGTGCGACGGGTGCTGCCGCGTTGTAGCTATCGAGTGCGACGGGCTAGAGCTTCGCTGGAAGGTGGCGACGATGGTTGCCGACTTGCAGCGGCGGCGAATACTTCACTGGAAGGCCGGTTGCGCGGCGGCGCAGAGTGTGCTGGAGTGCTAGAGATGGAGGATTATGGATTGCGGAAGAGTGGTTTGGCAACCTTAGCCTAATATCCACCCCCTTTCACCCCTTTTTTTTGTTCGAAGTGATCAAAATGGTGTCGTTTTTGTTTGGCGGGGACAATTTTCTCCTATGCTTGGAATCGGATAAAAACGGTGAAAGCGCGCTTTTATCCGATTTTAACGATTCTACTAACGCTTTTGACTGATTTTGAGTAAAATACGATTTTATTAGTGATTTGAAACGTTTTCCTACCCTAGAAACGTAAAATCGTACGATTTTACGCTTTAAAGCGCGATTTTGACTACACTGGTCCTAATCAAGTGGAATCTCAATCCCTTCACTCTCACTTGCTTTCTCTCCCATTCCACAAGTGAGTAACATACAGTAATCCGGCCAACGGGCCGGGTAATAAGCTAGTCATTTAATAGATTACTACGCGTGCACTTGACCCTTTCCCCATCTACCATCTTCCCTTCTTCCTCCCCTCTCTCTCCAGTCTCCCCTCTCTCTCTCTCTCTCACCCAAATGCTGGATCCGGTAAATCGCTTCCCTAAACGCCTTGGTATTGAGCGTCTTCCCGTCGCCGACACCGTCGAAGTCCGCAATCGGTATGTTGTCGTTCCGGTACCTCATCGGGACCATCCCGGAGCAGGTCAGCACTTCGTCGGCCGTGCCGGTCCAAAGCGACGCCGTGGCGGCGCAGAATAAGAGCAGGAGGGAGAGTGGGAGCGGGGACATCTCTTTGGTTGAGGAAATCAAAATCAGAGACGGTTGATGTTGGATAACTCCAAAAAATGCTAGATCTGATGAAGAGGGGAACGTAACAAGGAGAAAGATCCGAAAGCGAAGTTTCGGAGAGGGATTAAAGAAATAAGAGAGAAAGAGAGAGAGGAGATGGTGATGTTGTAGATGTATATTTAGAAGGAAGCCATCAAAGCCGAGCTTTGTCTGGGAGTGTGAGAGTCTTCAAATGGAGGAATGGAGCTGAGCTTTGATTTTGGGCGTTCTTGTTTGGACACCAATTTTTTTGTTTAAAGAACGAAAACGTTTTTTTTGGATATAGGATACCGCCGGTTAGAACAAAACCGGGCGGTTTCTCGCTTTGTGCCGGTTAACCCGGAAAAACCGGCCGACACGGTAAAAAGTCCCCTAACAGCCTATCGTTTCGTTTTTGGTCCGGTTCCCAGTTGAACCAGCCGGTACGATCCGGTTTCCTGGTCCATGGTTTTACGACACATGCATTGGGTATTTGGGTTCGTGCTTAGCCGTGTACGTGGGACCGGACCCACGGCACGAGCACGAGCACGGGCACGAAATAAATGGGCTAGTCCGACACGAGCACAAATAATTTATGAGTCGTACGCTCGTGCCAGGTCTAAACTTCATGGGCACGAGCACGGGCACGACGTATATAAGTGGGTCGTGTTGGGCCTAATGTTTTCGATACTTTATTGAGTATAAGAACGAACATGGCACGAAAATAATATTTATTTGATAGAAAATAAATATATAAAAAATTATAGGTTCGAATATTACAAAACACAAGTAGAAAATAATTAATTGTTGTTGTTAGAAGTGTCATAAAGATATATACATAATTACTAACGTAAGTAAAAATGGACAAAGAATTAAACAAAGCCAAATCACACTCGCTATACTTCCAATTTTCTTTTCCCCCTGATTTGTTACTTTTCTCAAACATTATCGGTGATACTATCTTCCTCTGTCCAATTTTCACCTTCTTTTCGTTCTCTCTTTTGTTTTCGTCCTTTTCATTAAACACGAATACGAGCATGGCAAGATAACAAATAGGCACGACACGATTTGAACCGCGACCGAACCCGAATTCTGAATTCCGAACCGAGACCCTAAAATTCTGCTACTCACCCCTCCTAAGCCCATTACTCTACCCAGCCCACTCCCTCACAGCCTACTCTCCAAGCCCATTACACTCACCCACCCAGACCTCTCATGAATCCCATTACCCCCCAAAACCATAAGTCACAACTAGGGGTGTTCAAATGGTTACCATGGTTATAACCAAACCAAATAAGACTAAATTCCATTAACCATGGAATACAATATCATAACCAAACCGTCCAAACTAATACAACAACCAAATTAACCAAACTAAATTTTAATCGATTTGGTTAATTGATTAACCAGATTAACCAATATAAAATCACATTATCATTGACGATGAAAATTTTCCGGTTAATGCAACAATCCTCAATTTATATAATGAATAAAACATATCAAACAACACGTAGTTATAGTTAACCCTTAACAAAAATACATGCAACTAAGACAATTATCTTACGATTAGCATAGAAGTATTCACCTAACAAAAAATTACGACAATGATATGGGTTAATGAATTGTTGTGTTTGTGTAAATTCACTTAGTCTCTTAGCAATTATCATAGGCTGGAAATGACCTTCCTTTCAAGTTTTCATTCATCATAATGTATGAAATTTATCTAAATTAGGCGTCCATATGTTGTGGTGTAGACTTTACATATACAAATATACACTATATGAGCAATATTGAGCTTTATATTTTATGAGACTAAAAGGGATGAACGTTAACTCCTGAGTGGTTATGCAAAGTATTATGTGTATATAATATATGTTAGATATATGACTAATTACTTAACTGGTTATTTTAGTTTGACTGGTTAGGAGTGTCTGAAACCAAACCAAACCACCTAAACCAAACAAGGTTAAAACTTTAACCAAACCAATTATCCAAATTAACCAAACCAAATTATCCAAATAGTACTGGTTAAAACGGTTACCACGGTAACCAAACCGTTTGAACACCCCTAGTCACAACCCTACTCTCCAAGACTCCAACGACCTGTAGCTCCTCCTTCCACTGTCACAACAAGATTCTTCTCCACATGTGACACATCTTCGATCCTATCACGGTTGTCGCTCCTCCTTCTAATTTCCAGTTCTGCTCCTGCCGTCCGCGACCGTGCATGTGTCATCGGTGGCCTCTGTCGGCGCCTGTGACCTTCCTCTTCCGCTGTCATCAGCGAGCTTCCTCTTCAGAAGGGCGGCAACCACATGCGAA